AAAAAAAATGACACCTGCTGTATTTCTTACTGATTAATATTGTATTGTAGAAGTACTACGACGTGCCGAAGGACTTGGAGACCAATGTAAAGGTGAGTGAGAGAATTCGCTGAGGGAAATGCTATGTTTTTATGTTACTATCATATTCATGCGTTTTTGCTTCCAGTTTGGCTGCCACAGCGGGCTCACGTACGAGAAGCGGTTGGCAAGAGCGTATTCGATGGATCAGCTTTCACTCAAGCATGGGAAGAAGAATGGAGCTGCGCCGAAACCAATCTGCTTGACCTGTGCCTCCGTTGGCCACACCCACAAGACCTGCCCTGATGGCTTCTGAAAATACGGGACAAAACACAGTAGGGAAGACGCAGCAAGCTATTTGGCTAGTTGATACTGGCCACCAACAAGCTCGAGCTTGCCTTTGCTGACTAGCTTACCGAGAACCACAGAAAGACCAGAGATCGTCTTGGTATCTGCACAATACCAACCAATAAAACGTTAGCAAAAGAAAGTAAGCCCAAAACGAACTACTATAGCCACGTACATGGTTGGGCTCCACTTCGCGCGAACGTGGAAAGCAAGTTGTGGATTCGCTGGATAGTAAGCGATCCGTAGTTCGAGAGCATACCCACGATATAGTTCTCCAATACTTTGAAGTCCTCTTCTGCCTGTGCGTCTGATGACACTGCAGTTTCGACGTCTTCAACCATCGAGTCATCGTCGCACCGGGTGTCCTGGAATGATACACTAGCCACCAGCTCTTTTCGTCCCGAGCCAAATGATACCAGTCCGTGATTCACCCACAGAGACACATGCTTCAGTAGTAAATCGTCAGAAATCTCCAACTTCGCTGCAAGCTCCTCAACACTCCACCGATCTGTGCACAGCATACGAAATAAGGACGAGCTCCATGAGGGCATGATCCACATACGTGACTTACCTTTCTCTTCAAAGTAAAGAATCATCGTGGCTTGCAATGGAGACACGTTAAACTCGCGCTCTTCACCTTCCAGCTCAATTGAAAGCTACAAAATAGGTCACAAGAAATGATTAGCATCCGTTTTTGTTGTCACGAATCCAAGAAGCTTAGTCTAGTCCCACACACCTGAACGGAGCCAAGAGAAGAATTCCATTCCAACGACCGCGGGTTACGCAGCACGTTGTAGGCATCCTTAAACGCATCAACATCCTTCGACACTTTCGGGTGCAGCGTGAAGTCTTCGCCTTGTAAGGGCGGCCAAAATTGTTGAGAAACGATCGTAGCATCGACCCGAGTGAATGGAATTCCAGGTAGGGCAGGTTGACTCTCTGTCTCTACTCCAGAACTTGTCTCTGTAGCAACCGCCGCTTTCGACTCAGGCTTGTTCATAGTTGAATGAACGTTTACATTGAGTCGCTTTGAGTCCTCAATATCACGCACCATGATCTCACACTGCTGCAAGCTATCTTCACCAAAGCGCAGCTTAAGCAACTCTAACGTCTGTACGTCACGATCGGTATCGAACTCGAGATTGTGCAGCAGCTTATCTGCCAGCATCATGCGATATTCATTCACAAACAGCTCGCGGCTTCCATAAATGTTGACCTAACATGACAAATTGTTAGTAAAAAAAAATTGGCAATTCTCTGGTCAGAATGAACGTACAAGAATTCTCAGGATGTCGTCGCTGCTTCGACTGCGCGATGTTTTCGTCGGGTCTGCTTCAATCGGATCTGGTTCCCACGAGTCTGGTGACATGTCCTCATCGTCATCACTATCATCGTCGTGCTGGATAATACGCATATTGTCTCGGCGAAGCTCTTCGAACAGGTCGCCGTTCTGTTCATCAGTGAGACTCTGGACAATGCAGCGAACTGTGTCTTTGCGCTTTCTCAAGTACTTAAACATATTCATAAAATATGTTAAATAAAAAACATTAGAGCGTAAGCGCATCTGGGTCATTGTGTACCTCCTTCACCGGGTCGCTCAACGCCTCCAGCAGTACACCCTTGGGGTCTAACAGACGAAATGCCTTAAAAAGCAGTATTATTTACTATAGCAAACAAGCAGTCAATAAAAACAAAACTGTACCTTGATAGTAGACACATAAATATCGAGGATTGCGGACGTGTTGGCTCCTGGCTGCAGTAGTCGCGCCTGCAATGCACCTCGAAATTCCTGCAATAGCTCACCATGCTGCTGTGTGCGTTCCAGACACTGTCTGAGGTCTTCTAACGCCGGTACACTGTATGTACAGTCAGTTCTTCAGCATTACCATTCACACTCGTTCAACTTTCCTCACCTGTCTGGGAACTCCTTGATAATCTCGAAGAGCTGCTTGATACGAAGACTCCCAAACTCCTGTAGCACTTGTCTAGATAGAATATCCCTCCACTTCCTTGTCGAAGCCTCATCCTTTGTTTGCATGATCTCCTCCAGCCATGGCAGCAGCTCGGAACACGCCCACTGCTCCACCTCTGTCAGGAACAGCTCGTCATACACTTCTCCACACGTCGACTTGACCACCTTTTTTATCTGAGAGTGCAACACTCTTAGCAACGCTGGCTCGGCCACATGTAGCCATTCCAGCTGCAGCAGTGTCTGCCGTATTGGTCTGGAGTCGAAAGCCTGCGATTTCTCCTTGCCCCGAAACTTCTGGAAGCTCATGGAGAAGAAAATGAGCAGAAGTTCCTCGAATCTCTCGACTGCCCGCGAATCATCGAACACTAGACAGCGAAAACTGGTCCTGAGTTCCTGCAACATTGTTCGCCGTCCTTTTATAATTTGCACATGATCGTCGAAGAGGCTGGCGATCTGCACGCAATGGGCGAAGGCGTCCTCGGCGAACTGCAGCGCCAGCGTGAGTTGCTGCGCGCAGAGCAAAGCCACGCGTCTGCGACCTCGTCTTGCACCTCTGCTGTGCTCGATCTCGGCCGGTATTGAGTCGAAAAAGCTCCAGAATGGCGAAACCACGTCCGAACGTAACCAGTATCCGAGTCGCTGCACCAGCATCTGGCGCAAAGGTTCATGACGCCCACGGGCTACGGCGGTCTGGATGACACTGCACAGATGACCAGTGATGTCTTGAGTACTGGTGGGAACATCCTCGGCTGGTTGATGGTCGAATGCGAAGAGCTTACGCCATAGCAGCTCGCGGTTAATACGCAACCCGCCGTTCACGCTCATGTTCGCAGTTTTTATTAATTTGAAAAGATACTGATAAATTACTAAACTAGTATTACCTTTGAGGTTAAAAATTTATTGATGTATTTTAAACAAGGGAATTGACAGTTTTTACAGCTAATCAAGTATTTAAATACCCTGACTTGTCAAAAGGCACACCTGGAAATAT